TGGGACTGAGTTGAGTTCTACGTGATCCATCTGGAATGGCTGCCGTTCAGTCTGTCCGTAAAAAGGAGGGACGTTTAGTACAATACTTCGAGCTGATTGGGTGATATGCCAGCTGGTAGCCACTCTCTATAATGCACTTTCAACCAATCGGAGCCACCAACACAGACACCGTGATCACAAAAGGATTGGTCCGCAGCTGCTTGAGTGTTTTCACGACCAGCGGAGTAAGCTGATAAATCAAACTTTTCCAAATCCTGTCACTGCAAATTTTTTCAATGTGTGTGCGCAGACACCTTTCCCATCTACAAATAGATAAATTCTTCTCTTTGCTCCTTTTTTAAATGAGAAATGGTCGCTATTTTAACTTAAAACTGTCAATTTCTGTATCGACAGGTGAGTCCTCCAGCGTAGCGGTAAGGCCCTTGTGACCGTCGTCATTCCTACATGTCCCGCCCCAAAAAACACTGCTGGCATGTCATTGGACCAACTCGCTAGTGGTCTTTCAACATGGATTTATTCTGAGACTGAAAAGTCAGATCTCACGACAATCTAGCTTTCAGCACAAGTTTAACTACTTGTATGATATGTAACAGTAATACTAGTACTGTACCTGCAGGTGTTGATAATGAAAAATGAAAAGGTGATTCTTGGCAAGGCTAAAGCTATTAATTTTCCCAAAACTGCCAGTGTCCTTGGTAGTTATCTTTTAGCTTGCAGCTATTTCCTTACATTTTAAGTGTTTTCAACCCATTTTACAAAGCGTACAGGGAACATTTCTTAAAATAAACCCAATGAAACAACTGACAACTGGCGAATCAGTTCCCCTGAATAAATAATGAAATGATAAAAGTGATGGAAAGCCTTCATATAAGAGTTTGGCCAACTTTACACCAAACCCTGGGTATTAGGAACTTGCATTCATAAGAATTCAGATATTTATAGAGGGTAATGAATGCCACGATTTAATAAATACCTTATGAAATTATTTATATGCGTCATTAATTAATTGAAATTAGAAAAAAATTCAAAATATAGAAAAAAAATTGTAAAAATACAGAATATCTTTAAAAAATCTATAATTATATGAGCCTCAGTGAAATTAATATATTTTTTAGAGTACATATAATTATTTCATGATTTAATAAATGATTTCATGTTGCTACACTGAAGTATAATAGGAATTACTTCAAACTGTCTCACCTCTTTCAAAGTCAGAGGCTTCATGCTATTCCTTGTTTTACTCTAAATTCAATATCATGGAATTAACTTAAAAAATGTTCTGCGGCTTTTTTGCAGCACATTGGGTTAGCAGCTCCGGCTTCTATATCCCTAGTTAAGCGTAAAGAGGTCGTCGTTGCTCACCTGATGTGCTATAAAAAAAAATGGCAACACATTTCTAAAATTTATTTTCAACCTTCCTGGCAAAAACATGACATGAAAGTAAAAAAAAAAAAAATGCTCATTTAGAGGCAGCCAATCAGGTGTTTGACTTTTGACTTTGATGTGTGACAGTTTTAATTAAATCATGATGTGCTTCACTGCAAGAAACAGGAAATAAGTACTAAAATAATGAATATAAATCAATTAAATACATATTTAATTTAAGCCCATATCATTTATGTGTTTCTTCAATAAATTATATATTTATTTTCAGTTTTGATAGACACATAAAAAAAATAATTTCATAAGGTATTTATTCTGTAGTGCAGCACTCCTGTCCCTCCATAGATTTGGCAAAAGAGTACATAGTTGTTTCATGCACAGGTTTTTAACCAGTTTATCTCAAACTACTAAAAGTTCCTGCTTTGCTAGATAATTTTGTGGAACAATTAAATCCACTTTGATTCCTTTGCTTAGACTGCTACTGTGATCTGTGACCCCATCCTATACAGTATTTAATACATTGACAGCTGCAGTATTCACTCTGGATTGTTTTGCAGAGGTTTCTTTTATTTTCCCCCATAAGTGACAATTCAACTACATAGAGTTGAATGATGACTGCACATGTTTTCTGGACTGGGTTAGAGCACACATATTTATGCAGACATAAAGCTGTATTCTATTGCAGGGATAAGATTGTAATATGTAGCAATTGTCAAGCAATAACCACAGTTTCGTAGAGGTAGTTTTCAAATATAAGCAGATTATTGAGCTGTTTTTAAATGAAGGCTATGATTAATGTACTTTCCTTTTTTTATGGCTAGGAAAAGGAGCAAGACTGTTGCAGTGCAGAGCTTATCAATGATAAATCTCATAAAAAAACCTGTAATACCAAGGTCAGGATATATGGATTTTCAGGATGCACCAAGGCATAGCTCAAAGTTCCTTCAAAGAAACTTGTTTTTGTCAGAAAAATCCATATTTTATAAAGGAGTCGATGCTTGTTATTTTGGGCCTAATTTCTTTATTCCTTTCCTTTTATAGAGAATATCTGATCTGACGTTGTTTGGGATTGGTTTAAAAGGCTACAGCTGGGAGGAAGTGCTTTGAGTTTTACTCCCAGGCCACTGTATGTGCTCTGGGATGACAGTGATGTCGTTTTGATAAATCACACACTGACTTTTGATTATTTTGGATGAACCTTGGGAACAATTTGTTTCGTTTACATCGGATATTTAGTCAAGAATCAATAAGGTATTATATTTTTTTTTTATTTAAATGATTGCAGTAGGTTGCAGTGTCTGTGACAGATTTCTTCTACTTCTGCTTTTATGTCCCAATTACATGTTTCAGTTCATCAAACATATTTTAATTTAGAACAAAGATAACTGTCTGTAAATACAAAAGTCAGTTTTCAAAGTTTAACAAGAAAAAAAACAACTATCCGAATAATTTTGGGGTTTTTGTGAACATTTTCAAAATTGATTTTGAATATTATCTTCCTCCGAGCGCCTTATCAGTCTTTTGTCCCACAGATCCCCTTATTTTTCAATAAGGGAAAAAAGTAAGCTTGTGGAGGATATATGTCAAATTAAACCATTTGTTTGAGAAGTTACAATACTGAATAAGTTTTGTGTTTTAAATTGTATAAATATAAAGTTCAGGTTAAGCGGCTGTGCCACTTTTCTCCTTGATAACAGCCGATTAATCCTTTAGATGTTGACCATTAGTGATGCACACTTTTGCATTTAATTTGCAATACTGTACACTAAATGCATTTGGTATTTAGCTTTCTGCTACTCCTTTTAATGATTAAAACAATGTTTTTTTCCATATTGCTTAAAAATAATTAATTGAATGTAAAAGAAACAGAATTTTCACATCAGTTACTTTATTCATCAGATTTGAAGTACAAGGCAAGAAATGCAATTTTGTCAAATTTGGTTCAGCACTATGTAATAATTTGATGTAAATAAAAAGTGCTTAACCACATAATGTACACTGAAAGATTACAAAAATGAATGGATATTTTTTGCATCTAAAGAACTTCAAGAACAGCTATTGATGTCAATCAGTATAGAAAGTTATAAAGCAATTTTTTTATGTTTTTTATCATTTAAGGTTCATGCTCGGGGCTGCACAGTGGGCAGTGGTTAGCGCTGCTGCCTTGCAGCACAAAAGTTCTGGGTTCGATTCCTGGTCCGGGGTTTTCTGCTTGAACCCATGCATGTCTGCGTGTGCATGCGTGGGTTCTCTCATGCGTGGGTACTCCGGCTTCCACCCACAGTGCAAAAAACATGACTGTTAGGTTAAATGGCTTCTCTAAATTATCTGAGAGTGTGCATGAATGGTTGTTTATCCCTTTTCTCTGTGTTGCCCTGCGACAGACTGGCAACCTGTCCAGGGTGTACCCTGCCTCGCCCGTAGACAGCTGGAGATAGGCACCAGCACACCTCAGGACCCCAGCAGGGATAAGCATGATGGATGGATGGAGGGATGGATGGATGGAGGCAGGGTCCATGCTCAGAATTCAAGTAGAAACAGCCCTTTATGGTCAAGCTGTGATTCAGACATTTCTGCTGACCACAAATTATCTGAAGCCCCATCAAAAGACAAATTGATAAAACCAAAAACCTTTATATATTCCACTCCATACATTTTATATTTTAGAAGAGCATACCAAGACTAGAACATGACTTATACACAAGAAAATCTGCAGAAAAATGTTTTGTATTTCTGTTTTTTGAAGGTGGGTATATCTCTCCAGCATTGTAGGAATCCCCCCCTCTGATTAAAAATATCTGGTATGACATCAAATGGGACATTAATGTTACCAGCAGAGTGATTTTATTCAACCAATTCTGCAAAAACGAGTGGGCCACATTTCCTGCAGGGATGTAAAACTTATTGTCGGTTCTTGTGTTTATAGGGGATGACATTTTTATGCAAAGAGTCAGATTATTTAAATGTTGGATTTTTTTCTCTGAATTAGATAAATCCTCCTTTGACGACTGTATTTTGTTTTCATTCATTTCATTTTTTATCTAAAAATCAGAATCAAGTGTGAAATAATAGTATGGAACACTTATAGAAACATGGAAGAAAGCTACGGGATATGCAGGTTTCACATCCAAAGGAGCATATATGATATAAAAACTGTAATGCCAAGTTTAGATTTTAGGATTCATGCTGCTAGCAGAAGAGCAATTCCTTCCAGGGAAACATTTTTTTGTGTTTTTTGTAGGAAATCAGAGAGACTTCTTTATTTAGTTTCAGCTTTTATGGAATGTCAGATCAGGCATTGTTTGGAATCTATCATCACAAAGCAAATTTACAAAACTTAAAGCACCAACTTCTGCTCTCTGCACACTCCGATCGCCGTGTTTTTCTTCTTTTCATTATTTTCAATCAGACTCCTTAAACACAGACTGCCAGAAGCTGCTTTGATCTTAACCTTCTAGACAGTTACATTCCCTTTTTAAGACGTGTAATTGTTGCTTTTCAAATCTTTGCTCTGTGTTTGTTTCATTGTGCTCACCGAAATCTTTTTGGCACAAGGGAGATGCAATAACTGCTCACGTCCGTGCACAAATTTACGAGTTCTGTGCCGACCTCTGCAGGAAAATCCGGGAACACCTGGGCGAGCAGGAAGTTTCCATCTCTCTGACCATTAGCTCCTTGGAGGAGAGCGACCTTGGCAACTACTCCTGCTATGTGACAAACGCCAACGGGCGGCGCCAAGCAAACATCCAGCTCGTCAAGAAAGGTGAGCCAAAACATCCACCACACGTTTCACCTTTAATCTAACAGATACAAAAACCAGACTAAATGTTTAGTGAAGACATGTTAAAGCTGACACGGTAGATCACACAATTTAAAAGCACTTACCTTCACTAGGACAATGGAGTCAATCTCCTGGTGCATTTTTCCTGATAAAATGAAGAACTACTGGTGGGATTTTGGGAATTGACCAATTGTTTGCTGCCTTGGGGGGGGGGGGGAATAGCAGGAAAGATAAGAAAAATAAAACAATGTATTCAACTTCACCCCAGGAAGCTGTTTTCCACTTACTGTTGGCACTTACATTCAGATTTCACCTTTTGCGACCTTCTGTTGAAGAATTTAAAGAATCTGAATCAAAATGATTACCTTAGTGGGTGTCTAACAAATAGAAAATCCCTCTTTTAACACCATCTTGACATTTTTTTTTAATGATAAATTAAAAAAGAGATGCAGATTATCTTACTGTCCTTCTTAAGTATGTATAGGATCTCTGCAGCCTTTAAGTTCTGGGTATGGAATACATTTACATAGTAAGATATCCCCCCTCTCTTTAAAGCTGGAAGCCTTGGATCTAACTTTGATGCCAGCCCAGTTCCTCTCCATTTGCTATATTAAAGGAGCTTATGCTGCACGGTGGAATCTGAAAATAAACTACTGCAGATTAGCCTCTCCCTAGCAGGATAGAAAGACTGCAAGGACTCATCTAGTCTTTTTATTTTCTTGTTTTCTGTTGCAAAGCATTTTAAGACTGCTCAGTGTTTGCATCACCTTAAAAAACAGCAACGGAAAAATGCATCACACTGTCTTCTGTTCGACTCTCGATGATCAAAGTGAATATGATTATTTCCTCCGTTTGATTTGGCTTTTCTTTGGCTCCCTCACACACAAGCACAAACATTTCCAGCAGCAATGCACAGGGTGTGATGCTCAACTCCTCCTGTTCTCATATTACCAGCAACAGTATTAGCATACAGTGCCTTGCAAGTTTTCCAATCCCTTGAATCCCTTTTCGCATGTTGTCTCATTACAACCAAAAGTTCTGTGTGTTATTCTGATGCATTCATTTTGTATACAAATAGTTTTCTAAGGCACTAAAGGTACAATGTTTTACTAATTCTTTGACTCTTCCTCATCATCTCATGCTTCGTCCTTGATGGAGAGATGCAGAAAAAAAGAGAGCAAGGGGAAGTAATGAATAGCTCTCTTCCATGCGGCTCAATCATATCCACTCTTTAAGTCGTCGGGAGCTAATTTGTCTTAATCTGGCCCTCTGCAGCGCTGCTACAATATGGACGCCAGGCAGGGACGAATTTTCCTCCTCCGCTGTAATCTTTGCAGCTTGAAAAGCAGCTGGCTCAATATGAGGTCCGCACATTTGAGCAGAGAATCAGGGGTAGAGCAGAGGCAGGAGGACAAAGGCAGAGGTGGGGAGGACATTGAATTAAATATGTGTTGGGAGTGGAGTTTTTAGCTGTGCTTGTAAGCCCCGGCGCTGAGAAATCATGCAAGAAAGAATGATTGCCAGGACCAAGGCCAGCTCCAGCTGAGCTCGGTGGAGGATTGCGAAACTTTAAGTCACATTGCCTCCCATGTTTGTTTGCTCTTTCTTTTTCTTTTTTTTTTCTTTTTTGGTTCACCTGCGTGCCCCGACGTCCATCGGTGAGTTTGGCTGAAGGTCATCTCCGGACAGGTGTGATGAAGCGAAGCAGACCACGCTCGTTAGCTTTCAGGAACATCATCCCTCATCATGGGAGCTGTCAGCTTTATGTCCACTGCAGGGAGGTGGGCATCGCTCACTACAAAGAGGTGAAACGCGCACCAGTGATGGATCGTGATGGAAGGGAGAGTCTTCTCTATCCGTGGTTATGCGTGCATGCAGCGCCGCCAATGAAGGCTGACTATCCAGGATTTGTGAGGCGTCACCAGGAGGAAAAGTAGAACTGTAGAAGATAGAGCGACATCAGACAAAAGGGAAAGTCTTTTCACCAATTTGAGATTTAAGTTGAACTTTTAACATTTATTAGAAATTTAAGCGAATTATAATGTTTCAGAATCCCAGCGTTCAAAATTAGTGTTGCCAGTATGGCCACTTTTTAGTTATAACTAATGATCATTGGGGTTAGCTTGTTAGGGGAACCCAGAGCTTAGAATATTAGCAGGGTTTTTTTTTTTTATATTTGTTTCTTTCAGTAAAATAACTGATTTACAGACCTCCTTAATCGCTCAGCAGACTCATAAGCTGCTATTGTCGTACCTTTGAAGCCTCAGAAAGCTCTTTGAGACTCATAGAAACATTTTATATCTAAGTTAGCTGATGCAAATTGATGTGATTTTTTTAGTAGGAATAGATGTAGGTTCATACTTTATTATCATACTTTATTATTCCTCAGAAATTGATTTTAAATAGTAGTTTTGGTAACAATTATCCTTTTCTTTTTGTTCTTTTATTTTCTTTTCAGTTTAATCCATTGTTCTTTTAGTGCTTTTTTATGTAGATTGTAAATAACAATGCATCCAATGTTTGGAACAAAAAAAACCTCCCAAGATTTATTCGGGTGTCTTGAGCTATTTCTCGATATCTTGATATTTCAGTGTTCATATTTTTCAAGCAATAGCTGCGTTTCCATTCCAAAATGCCTGCAAAACTATATTGATATTCTGCTAATTTTAAAAATGCACATTTCTGCAGTTTTGGGTTTTACGTTGAACGTTACATTAACGAATACTTGAGGTTTTTATTTCGAGTTGTTTCCTTTTCCTTTAGTAAATTTATTTTTGTAAGTACAATTTGCGCAGTGCGATTGTTAATGTAACCAAAGCTACAGTAAATGTAATATCTTTTTTCATAATTTTATATAACTCTTAACAACAAAAGCAGGAAAAGTTTATAGGTAATGTGGGGGATGTGCTTTTTTTGGGTGGATCATCAAAATAAGTGGTCCTCCTGATTGTCAATCATTCTGGTGATACGTTTATGTAAGGCTGTTCTATGTGCTCGCCCCCATTTTACCTTAGTGGTGGTGAGTCTGAGTGGAAAAATTGCAAATCTTTTTTTCAAAAGTAAAAACTATTTTGAGCAATGCAAACAGCAACTTTTAAACAGATTATGCACGAGGAGAAATTAGCTCATGCATGCTCTCGCACATGTTTAATAGACATTTCCTCTTGGGAGGGGCTACAGGTACAGCATGTGCTTTTTTTCTTTTAAGTGGAGAGGGCAGGTCTTTTCAAAAATTCCCCAAAATCCTCCAACATACCTTTAAAGGGGTCATAGAATACAAAACTGAGTTTACATTGTCATAGATGAATAATGATAGTTCAGTGGGTGAAATGGACGTACAGAGAACTTCAAACCCCATCGACGCCTACTTCTTAATTTCCCAATTCCAAACCTTCACCATAAAACGGCCTATCCAAACGAAGCCCCGGACTGACTCTGGAATGGTGCTTCATTTGGTTCTGGCCTGTATTTTTGTCACGCCCCGAAATTTACATACAGCTTTAGTGTTGACTGCTGTGTCGCTGACTGTATCGGACCTCAGCAGAGCCATGAGCCGCCCGTCCTCAGCCAGAGGAGGGGGGCTGGGGGCCAGTAAGGCAGGCAGGTGGAAGCACAGGGCCGACGGTGTCCAGGCTACCATCACCGGATCGGGTTCGATCGCTCCGTCCCCCACTGGCTCCCTTCTCCCATCCGCCGGGGTTTCCAGACCAGCCCCAGAGCTGACGGCTCGGTTTGAATGCCCGGTGTGTTCCAACTACGTGCTGACCAAAATTCTGGACAATTTTTAAATTCCCCCCGGACATTTTTTTAGGTATGAAAAGTAGGAGATGTCCAGGAAAAAGAGGACGTCTGGTCACCCTACCATACAACAATTTGATGTTTCAGTGAGTGAGTGCTTGTTGCTATGATGCATCTTTGCTCAGCAGCTTCCCTTGTTGTAAACCAACCAATCAGCGCACAGCTCATCTAAATATTGATGAGCATAGCATAAAAAAAAGAAAACCTGTCGTTTCATTCTAGGGCTTTTAACCAGGCTTGCATTAGAGCTCATAGAACAGCAAATATGCCATTTTCATCCCAACCATTGTTACACACCTTATTCAGAGACCTTAAGGACCAGCAACAAATACCCTATAAAATCATTCTATGACTCCTTTAAGTTAAAGTTGGTGTGTTACATTCACTGATCAGAAACAAATTGGAATGTTGATTCTCCAACTGAGTCAAAGTCTACAGTTGCCCAATCTGATAACCGGAATATATATATAGGTACATCTCTACAAGCAATAGTTACACTGTCTACTTCCCCTATTATAAAGAACACCACTGACACAACTGGTGGTTGAATTTAGCCTCTGATGACCTGTTTCGGTTTTTCATGAGGTCCTGCCAAGCTGCAGAGACGACTAATGGCAACAGAAGCAGGTTGCTTCCATCTGTCAGGTGATTCAGCAACCACCTGAGAGCTTTAAAGTTTTCCAGCTTTACACACACGTAACCAATCTTCATAAGTTTGGCAGCGCAATCCGTCACGTGCCATTGTCACACCGGTTGCTCCTGTGCAAGTTTTTTATTATCCGAATTTTTGAGCCAGGAGGCTTTAAATGACAGGTAGAGAAGCAGGTTCTACTTTCACTCAGCTCTGAGTTATGTGGCATCCAAATCCAATCAAGCCAAGAATGAGCAATGTGAAAAGACGGAGAGTGGAAACAAGAAAAAGTGACACAAACACAGACTGAAGGGGTACAGCTCCGGTCGATGCATGAAAACACTTTAACAAACAAACACGGAGTGATTTCGCAGCGTGGAGTCTTCTCCCATCAGCTGCGGGCGCCTTTCTTATCTGTCATGGCTGCGTCATGCGTTACCTTTAGATAGATTACGTGCGAATCTGCAGCTGTCAGATGCAAATGTGCTTCTATGTAGGAGCAGAGAGAAGGAGGAAATGACTGAGAGGTGAGACCGTGGAATCTCAGCGGAGGAAACCTTTTTTTCATTTTCTACATTAAGCTTAATGTAAAGGTATAGTCATTTTTCATACCGTTCAAGCAAACTTTGAGGAAAAAAATGTATTGCCAAAGCTTTTGTTGTATTTCTTGGTTGTTGTTTTTTTTATGTAACAAACAAAGTAATGACATCATTAACACAGTAAAAAGCACAGCTAAATATAGGACTTTTTGGGGCTCATATAAGTTGCAGGACTCCTTAATAAAAAGAGAAAAACAGCTTAGATATGTCCTGCAATGCAAATTATGCTGTAGTTAATTCCAGATTCAGAAACTGGAAATTTGGTAAAAACATTCTTCTTTGGTATTTTTTAGGTTTAGATTTCTAAATTTTTTAATGTACACATTCCTGACACACCTCTAGAGGGCGCCATCATCCTCCGCCCACTTCCACTCTTCTTTTTCGTCTTTTCGTCCAGATAACGTGACTCGTGTGCGTTTCCATTGTAGTTGATACGACCCGAAAAAAAAAGCACCCGACTATCGAAAAAGTGAGTTTTTTTCATTGGATATGCGATGCTTTCACTAAGCAAGTTTATTTTTGTAATTACAATTTTAATACTAAATCAGCAACCTATGAGGAAGAGGACTTCAATATTAAACTTCCAAAATTTAATGATAGAAAACAAAACCAAATACAGAAACCTAAACCCTTCCTACACCCCTTCTCAAAGTAAGTGGAAGAGTCCAACTAGGCCTCCATGTCATTGAGGAGATCCTTTGCAGCTGGGGTCTCCTTTCCTTTACTAGCTTCACTCATGACAGCCTCCCATGAACTGACAACTCAAAAGAAAAATATATTAATGAACAGAAAACCAAACAAGCAAGAAATGACAAAGTGGGTCAACTAAATGTGTGCACCTAAATAGTTAACCAATGCCAAATCAAATAAAAAAAAAAAAGAAATACAGTACAGTAAAATATAAGATTTAATAAAAGAATAACCAGACCATTTGTTGTGTGGTTGCTTATGCCGCCGTCACAACCAGCTTTTGGTATCGGTGTCGGCAGGTGCCAAACATTATCCTGCTAGTTGGCTGGCTTTATGAAACACAATGAACAAACGCTATTAGACGCCACGGCTCCCCAAATCCTCACTGACAGCGGAAACTTGATGCTGCACCTCAAGCAACATGGATTCCTTTATCTCGCCCCTCTTTCTTCAGACTCTGGGAAGTTGATGACCTAAAAAATGGTGAAATTAACTTAAAAGGAAAAAAAAGGGCATTATAAAAATGGCAAACAATGGGGTTCTTCTCATACGTCCAGGTAAGAAATGTTTGATGCTGTTTCTGATTCAGAGGTGGGATGACAAAAGGAAAGCAACGTTCGTATCCCTGATGCGGGGTTTCTTTTGTGCATAATTCCTCTTGGTGCACTGCGTCCAGCCTTACTTCACTCTTTCTAAATCAATTCTGCTTTAAAATCCTTCAACTTTTCCAGAAAAATCCTTTTACCTTCCACTCGACATGCTTAGTTGCAGCTTTCTGTGAACAACCAGCTTCTTCAGCACTTTTTTCTGTGGCTTTCTCTCCTTTGTAGAACATGGCAATGATCGTCTTCATGATGGTGCAGTCAGCACTTTTCATTATGATTTTGCAGTCATTAATGTTTTTTTTTTATAATTGTTTTTATGTATTTTTATCTAAAATATTTGGCTGTATGTAAAGAAAACAAAAAAAAAACTGTAATTTTCATTACACAGAGATGAACTTCTAATATATAACTTTGTTTAAAACACCCTCGAATGTGTGTTTGTCTCTTTTGAGAGGCAAATATTGACATGTTTTCCTTTGCCTTCCATGTTTGTTTCATCAGCTGAGCTGATGTACACTGTGGAGTTGGCTGGAGGTCTGGGAGCCATCCTGCTGCTGCTCATCTGCCTAGTGACCCTCTACAAGTGCTACAGGATCGAGCTCATGCTTTTCTACCGGAACCACTTTGGCAGTGAGGATATCGACGGAGGTGAGATTTACACACGATCACCTGCGATGCTTATATAGATGAGACTGTGGATTTCGAAAGCACCTCGTGTTACTATAAAACAAAACATTTTTCTTCTCCAAAAAGGAATGAAATCCCAGTCGTGACCAGTGTCGGTGTCGCTCTGCGTAGAGATTTATTTTTATTTAGAAAGCACCTGGGCTATTTATCAAGTCATAAAGCTGCAGGTGGCTCCATTTTTATGCAAATGTGCATCGGCTCCGATGACTCATTGGCTCCAACAGAAAAGCCTTGCATAATTTTCTTCCAGTTCTCGGGTTTAGGGAATCTTCACCATCTTCTCCCACTGGAGCGGTTAAATAAAAACTGCTAAATATTCACTATGTTGTCCCCTGAAGGAGCAGGAAGCAACTCACCAACCACCAACTGATACAGAATAAAGCTTCAGCATTCAGCATATGCACATCGTATTGCTTGCTTAAAGGAAACAGATGCAGATCTTTAAAAAAAATAATAATTCTTTAAATGACTGAAAAACATTATGGTAGCACAAATTCTGTGATTCTTGAGCAAAAAAACTCAAAGTTTAGAAAATAAACTTTTGCTGTAGGGGATAGGCAATATATTTCGCTAAATACTCACTATAAAGCAAATCAAAACACTGCCCTTGTGCAAGACAAAAAACATTAACTCTCAGACCTCATCAGTAGTGGTGAAATAATCCCTTTGATTGGACCTGCTGGATGAGTCTTAGCTTGAGAATACATCAAACCGAGACAAGGAGCAAGTTTTAATTTGATTCCCCTGTAATGAGTCTCTGTAGTACCAGCGCTGCAATGAATTCAGGGGGAATGAGATTAGTTCAGAGGCTGCAAGGTTTTGCAAAGTGGTGAAGAAGGAGCTGGAGAGTTATATTTGTTAAAAGGGAAAACAATTTGTGACATTTGATTGAACGTCATTACCTCTGGCTTTGCTGGATCTCCAGCCACCAATACGGGGATCTTCGAGGCCTTAAACTTAAAGCCAAACAATTGCTGAGTATAAGTGGGCCACCGGAATGAGTGCTTGGAAAGGCAGGAACAGATTTTCAATTTTTTTCCTTAGAAAAAGGGGCTCGGGTCCAATATCGTGCAGCTTTCTGCCTCTGGAGCTCTCAGGAGATGCTTGGTGCTGAGCTGTGTGCCGTGGTCTGTTAGATCTTAACAATGCCACCACAAAGGAGGAGGGTTCCACTAATGGCTTCCTGTAGATAAGTGCAAAGGTTCAAATGGGAGTCTTGGATCTTACAGCATTGATAACGGATCACCAAGCTCTAGTTACTGGGTTTTTCAAAAGTTTCACTTTTTTCCCCGCTGCAGCTGGAACTTTGATTTAGTAGAATTTATCTTATAGACCAACAAAACATAATAGATTATTATGAACAACTCGTTAAATTTATCATTCAACTCTAAGTCTCTAAGAAAAGCTATCCCTTATCATGATACTCCCACCACCGTATGTCAGAGCTCCTTCATCTAAGCGTTCATTGTTTCCAATTCATTGCTTATTTTATACTCTAAGCAGGATTTTTTATTTCCTTTCAACACCGGCCGTCTCCAATTTTGGCTCCGAATATGAGAGCTGCATAATGGAAACATATGAGATATGTTTGCAGAGACGAAACAATAAAGTCTTTAGTGGCTCAAGTGCACCGAGATGTGGTTTTCTCCTGCAAAGACGCCGCACAAGCTGCCAAGAATATGCCAGCGTTTGATGGCGGCCACTCCACGCGCTAATTGAACGCCCTCCTCTGCCAGATGTAAAATTGTAAGCTGTACGTAACAATAGGATGGACTGTCAGCTATTTGTCAGCGATGCAATTTAGTTAAAGAGCGCTCACTTGTCAGATTGAGTGGGTGTCACCAGAATCAATAATAGGCTTCATGATGACAACGGGCGAGCTGGGCTTGACAAAGAGGTGGGAGCTCATCAACACAGTGCCATAAATACGAATGTCATCGTTGTCAAGGCAGCAAGGACTGATGAAGCTCTTGTGGTGTTGAGAGTGGTTTGGAGATGCTGAACATTAATAGCCTGTGTTGCACACATGGCCAATTGCATGCATATTTACTCTACTAATTTATTTTACTGTTTGATATAAATATGTGTCTGTTTTTCTCCACTAAAAAATAGTTTGGACACGGCTGATTATGGCCGCTGGAGGTCAAGATAATTCAATGTTTCTACAGGTCTAAATAAAGGCTATTCAACGAAATTTCTCAGGGTCTTATAGTTAATGAAAGCCAAAGGCTCAGGGACTAGATGTTTAATAATTAAAACCATTATTGACCAAAATGTTTGGATTAAAGTGACCCATTACCTTTCAAATGTGTTGTTTTACTGTATTTCATCATAAATGGAATAAAAAACAACCTACATGCTTAATTTGACAAAACATTACATCTCTGCATTTTTTTTATTCTGTAAAAGTAATAGTATTTCAATATAAACTAAAACTGAAAACAAAAATAATGTATTTTCCTTTCCTTTTAACCTGGAAAAAATATTCTAGTATCTCTGATTAATCTCATTTTGAGGCATCTGGGGAGAAATGCTATAGTGGTTTAAGTTATTTGAATCACACAGTTATTGAACCTGCATTTAGTTATGTAACTTGTTCACATCGAATTAGGGCTGAAACAATGAAGCAGATTAAAAGTGAAATATTAGCGCAATCTTTCCAATAAAGATGAGTGTGGCTCTTGGTTCAGAAGCATCCAAGTTAGACTCACTTCAGCTCTGTCAGTTGTTTTTTAATGTGACCATGCAATCCAACAAACTTTCTTTCCTCTTGATCAAGACGCTTTATTTTCCAAATTCAAAACAAACTTAGATTTTCTTACCGCAACATGACGTGACAGGCAGATCATATCGGCTCATTTCGTTCCTTTTTGCCACTCAAAAAACAACATTAATCAAAAGCGGTCAAAAAACTGTATGGCTGCACTGATTGAATCCAAGAGCTCACCCGGCCCCAATAGCCAACTTCAATATAATCCAGGTGCTGAAGTCAATTGTCCATAATGTAGGGGCGGAGGCGAGAAACAGTGTAAATTATGCATGGCAGCAAAACACAACTAAACAAATTCATAATTTCATAATTAAGTCGTCAACTCATACTTTTAACCAAAATATTTCATGTTCATATTAGGGCTGCAACAACGAATCGATAAAAATCGACTTTTAAAAGCGTTGGCAACGAATTTAATCATCGATTAGTTGTGTCGCGCGATTATGCGTCATCCGCCGCCGCCGTCATCCCGGGGAAGAAAAAAAAATATGGCGGAGCGAGTCAGCGCCGCAGTTGCAGTGTTGCCAACTCAGCGACTTTTCAGATCCCTCCAGCGACTATTTTTTTAAAAAGCGACTAGCGACAAATCTGGCGACTTTTTACGGTGTCACTGGCGGCTTTTGGAGACTCTTACGTGAAAGCATGTATCGTTCCTACTCTTGTCCTCCAGCGGCAGCTGCTGCCGTGGGGCGCCTCCCCCATCCCAACGCCTTTCTCCCTCTCCCACAGGAATCCCTCTCAGCGCTGCAGTCAGAGCCGCAGGATTTTAGTGAGGAGTTTACCCTCAGCGTCCAGACTGCAAATGAAGCGCGCATGCGCCGGGATTGACGGCGCAAATTGATCACAATAATTAAAATAGCCTGCGCTTTGTAAAGTGAAAAAAGTCGTAACATGCAACTTTTGTAAAAACAAATGAACATGGCGCGGAAGCACCACTGTTATGACGCAGCACCTGAAAAGAAAACACGTTGGAGCCTTCAATGGCAGTGAAGAGAGCTGATCAGCAGGATGAGTAACCATGTTTGTTTCATTTTAAAGAGGGGAAACGTAACGTTAGTTTCTCAGGTAGCTCATCTGATGCTTTCCTTACCGTGTTAGTAGGTTACAGACAGTGATAAGGTTGGCTACTTATTTTACTTTTAATTTCATTTGAATTAGCTTAAGCAGCGTTTATATTTTCTTTATAAATAAATTAATTTGCAAATTATGAGGGCAAGGCTTTTAAAGTTTAAATCTTCTGGCAAAGATAAAGAAAAGAAGATCCTGCAATTTATGGAAGTAAAGCAGAATAAAATCCAGCAAGATCAGTAATATGTCAATTAATTATCTGCCACATTCCCATGTAAATATCTGTCTTTGGAGGATGTGTTTTTTAACACCCCTAGTTCTCTCATTTTTATTCCAAATACAATTTATAATTTGAATCACAGGGCTATTTTTATCTCTATGGTTCAGTATTTTCTCAAGCAGCAACTTTAACTGCTATACTTTCCTGTCTTAAAAGGCAGAACTCTTCTAGTCTAAAAAAAACTCATTTGTTGAAATAGGGGGGCCTATTGTTTGAACCCCTTAGGGGCTTTAAAAAACAAAAATGCCTGTCTCTTTTTGCGCTTTATGAAACAAAGTACCCTATATTTTGTGGATGTACAGCTACATTTCTCATGTAAGTTTGCGTAGTTTTAACACAAACATTTATTTTTCATATTGCACCAGTACAGTTAATGAGAAACCTGTACTTGTGTGCTTGTTTGTTCTGTCTAAAATGTTTATTTTGGAATAAAGAGGTTAATATAAAAAAATATTTTGTGTCCGATTCATCGATTAATCGAAAAAATAATCGGCTGATTCATCGATTTTCAAAATAATCGTTAGTTGCAGCCCTAGTTCATATATATCATACCAAAACCAAACAAAAATAGTAAACTAGAAATAAATATTCAATCATAAATCAAGCATTTGGGTCCAACATGATTAATCAATAGTTGAAATAATCGTCAGCTAAAGCTTAGAGACTCTAAAATGTGTCTTTAGCTGACAGAGCAACCCAGTTAGAGCAGCAGTTTTACCAAAATTGTAAAAAAAAAAAAAAATTATAAAGAAAATATGTGTAAACATTTTGTTAAGATAAAATAAATTTTTTGTCTGTCAATATTGTCTATCCAGCACTCCTCCAGTGGAAAAGCTTTATTTT